GCTCAAACTGCTATTCAGTTTTCTGTCATAAATTAAAACACCTCAAGTAAATTGTAAGTGATTCTTTTTTTTTAAAATTATTTCTCTACAAAACACTTCACTACTACCATCGCCATCACCACCCCACCGCTGTCGCCACTCCACTACCACCACCGCCACCCTGCTACCACTTCTGCCACAACCACCATCACCATTGTCACTACCATCGTTATCCACCGCCACTACCACCACCGTAATTATCCACAACCGATTATTACCATTGCCGCCCACCGTCACCCATTATCACAATCCACCACCATCATTGTCACCCACTCACTGCTGCCACCCACTATCGTCGTCTCTCCACCACCACCACTACCAACCACCATCATCGTCATCCACAACCATCCATACCTACAATCACCAACTCCATCATCAATGACTATCACTACCACCATCATCACGCAAAAACCCTCACCACCATCACTATTGCCATCCACGATTACCACCACCAACACGGTCATCGCCACTCTCCACAACCATCTCTGTCTATCATCACTACCATTATTGCCCATTACCACTATCACCGCTTATCCCTACTACAACCGGTGCTTAAATTTATTTTTCTTTCCTTTATATTTGTGATTTGATTTTTGAGTGTGAATACAAATATATTTATGATTGAAATTTATTTTTATTACTCCGTGCCTTCAGGCACAAGTAATAACTGATAATTTTATATTATCTCCTCAACAAGTACATATTGCATCGCACCTCCAATTATGGTCATCAATTTCACAGAGCCCAAGTTATAGACATTTGAAATGTATCTGGAACACATTTGAATTTTTTTTGTCCAAAACATAGCAAGACATTTAATTTTGGGGTGATGGGAAATAAATTTTGGCAGTTGAAGACTCAAAATGAAACCCTCCATAGTTAGGAGAACAAAGTTAAATGAGGGCTACAGTTAAAATGATCCAATTATAATTTTTCCTTACCAAAATTTGCTTAGATTGGTATAAATTTGGCCAGCTCTCACTTCAGATTACACATGCATTACTTCAAATATTTACATACTACTAATCACATGTGTTTGGAGACACTTAGTAATACAAAAAAAAAATGAACATGCAACATTTTATATTCTAAAAAATAATTTATTTTTTTAAATACGTTAACTTAAAACTAAATTGAACAAAGATAAAACAAGAGAGAAGTAGGGCAAAAAGAATTTGGGGGAGAGAACTAGGATTGTTTGGCATTAAAAATTATGTTTATTAAGTTATCTGATATTAGGAATCGTGCAATGGAAATGATGTTTTTGAGCGAGAAATTTTTTTTGGATTGAACTTTATACCATTAGATCGAAGTAGACAAAAACTGAATCAATCATGATCGTTATTATATTTTTATAAATTGATAATTCAACTTCCCATATATAATATTAAATAGATTAAGATTCCTTTGAATACATGTTTATTCAATTTCACTCAACGATAGATTAAACATCGGTTTTGGATCAAAGAGGCACTTTAAATATAGTGTATCCTACTTGAATTCATAATAAGAGTAAATCCCATTCCAAAAAGGCCTCTACATCCGAAGTGCCCCCCCCCCCCCCAAAAAAAAAACAAAAGAAAACTAAGGTCAGTTGCAAAACTTCAGAAAAAGCAAAAAATATCGCTGTCTTTTTTTTTTTTTTGGTTCAAAAATTAGATGTGTTCAGGTCAGCTTATGAACACCTCAATTAATTCCTTATCGGTTCAATTAAAGACAAGTCATCTACATCAGAATTAAAATATGATTCCAATAAGTTGCATATGTGACACGGCATGGAGATGAATACCCATGATTATAAACAAGTCATTGAAATTTTTTTAACACAATATCACTTGACATGTTTTTTTTTTTTTTTTAACAAACTTTTGACATGTTTTCAAAACACCACAAGATATCAACTAAAGAGAAAGGTGAGCCAAATCAATGTTTTACATTGGGGAAACAATTACAGTACCCAAATTTTTTGAGTGGCTGCTTACACTTTTTTGGGACTACAAAACAATTACAGTACGCTGTACTGTAATTGTTTTGTAGTCCCAAAAAACGTGTAAGCAGCCACTCAAAAAATTTGGGCTTAATCCCAACTGGTCATTTATCAATAATCAAAGCTTCTAAATTGTTTTAGTTATTTAGAAAACAATAAATGTTTCACAAATATTTTGAAAACAATTTAAAAATAGAATGAAAACAAATAAAAAAATAAAAAAATATTTTTGTAACGTTAGTTGGAACGGACCGAAACACCTTAAAAACATTCTAAAGACTTCAAAACATTAGAGTCATGTTTGGTTAACATACGCAAAACAGTTTTTTGTTCTCAAAATTTTTAAAACATTCAAAACTTGTTTGTTTAGCATTTTTGTTCTCAATTTTCGAAAAAAATAAGATTTGAAATACAAAAATAGAAAACAAGTCAAGCTTGTTTTCTGGATTTTATTTGAAAATTTTGAAAACACAGAAAACGCACAGATCTATTTACTGTGCACTTATTGTATCAATATAAAAACTTTTTTTTTTTTACATTCTTTTTCCCTTGTCTCTCTCTGACCTCTCTTTCTCTCTCTTGTGCCTACACCATGGTTGTGTCTTCGACCCATAGATCCGATGACTGGAAGCACAGATCCTTTGGTGGTGGCTGTGGGTGTTGGGTGGTGGTTCTCGGCTCGGATGGTTCTTGATGTGGGTTGGTGGTGGTTGTGGGGTGTTGGGTGGTTCTCGGTTTGTGTGGTGGTGGTGGGTGTTGGGTGTTGGGTGGTTCTAGGTGTGGGTTAGTGGTGGTTGTGGTTGTTGGGTGGTGGTCTTGGTGGTGGGTTTGGGTGGTTCTCGGTTTGGGTTGATGGTGGTTGTGGGTGTTGGGGTTAATGGTGGTTCTCGGTTGTGGGTGTTAGGTTATACACAGTGAAAGAGAGAGAGAGTTGAAAAAATGTAGGAAAATTGTGGATTATTGTCCAAACAAATTTTATAATTTTTGTTCTTTAAAACTATTTTCAAAAATATATAACCAAACAGGTTTTATAATCTAAAAATTTTTAAAAACACTTTTTTAAAACTCTTTTCAAAAATAATTTTTGAATACTGTTTTTTGAGATGCAAACCAAATAAGCCCTACAATTTCAATATTCTATCACTGATTGGTCTCGATTTAAAACGTTTTTGACCGTTTCGAAATAAAATTTTAATCATTGCATTTATCATAACTTTGCTTGATTAAACCGTAAATTAACTTTTAGTTTAGTAACCTTTTTCAGTACTACAGTTTTTTTTCTCTTTCATCCTAGCCTCACCAAAATCTTGGTCAAATAAAGAGACAACATAAGAATCTTGGTCGGCAGCCGGCCATTGTGCCGGACAAAACCAGAGGTATCAAAACTTGGGAGCTGAGTCCTTGTTGAGAAGAGTTACATGGCTGTGAAGCCTTGACATATTCGACTCTTTGGGTGCTTACAGATAAATCTCAGTCACATGATGCCAACAACAACGCAGAATTTTTTTCAAATGACACCTACAATACAAACTTAGATGATCCCAAAGTCAATAACAGACTAAACCCATAGTTTTATCCTTTTGATTTAGTACTCACCAAAGGTTATGGAGCAAGACAATATGACAGTATTTATGCCAATGTGAAGATATATAAACTAACTAGGGCTACTCCGTGCTTGGCACGGTAATTGAGAACCGCGAAGTGATGGATTGAGAGGAGCTTATGGATGAGTATATAATATAACATTTTGTTTTCCCACACATATGACATACTTTTGATCATTTCGACTAAAATTTAGGCATGAAATTTCGACAATAAAAATATTACAAACAATTCATTGGTTAAAATGGTAAATTTGTGTACAAAAAAGTTTGAGGAACTAATACAGAATGAAGTGTATCTTGCAGTGATAGTGCTCCAAAACTTTTTATGGTGTAATTCTCACTCAAAAGTTCATCTCATTTCTAACCCCCACCATTAAAATATATGAAATTCTTTAACCACCTCTTAAAGTATATGCGATTCAAGAGTTTTTTTTTTTCTAGTTTCGCCCCAAATCAATGCCCGACTTTGTATCTTACCTCTTTTGTTTTCTTCTCCATTTTTTATATGAATATAGGGTTTTTTCTTCTCTCTCTCTCTCTCTCCTCCCCCCCCCCCCCCCCCATAAATTGTGGCTTCATCTGTATCTTCGTAAAAAATTGTCTAAAGTCTCCATCTTTGTGAATTTCTAACAAATATTTATTTATATTTGCTTGATAGGTAAGGTAAATAGAATATTCACCTTTACATGAATGATTATTTTTCCTTTTGATTCTAAATTTTGTGCATTCTTACTAAATAGTCGGTCTCATATAGTATTCCTTTTGGTCTCCATTCGTACTTAATCATACTTCTTTTACATTCAAAAACTAACACACTAAATAATCGATAAGATGCACAAAACAACTAACATCATGAAACTAAGTCTACCATACACAGGAAAAAGATGGGGTGAGAAAGTCACTTAATGGGTGGGCAAAGCTGATTTTTTAAAAGTTTTACTCCTTTATTAGTGTGGAGGAATAGGAGGGAAGAACCCCAACCAATTTTGTAAAAGGAACTAGGCAATCATACAAAAGAAGTCATTTTCAGGGCTCTATGTATGATGGATGGATGTCAATATGATGGCAAAATGAGGATGTGAACATATATATATATATAAACAAATTCTAAGCAGTTAAATTTTCCTATGAAAGACAAGAAAAAGTAGTTAAACTTGTAATTGTAAACTATGAAATGCAGTGTACCTTTAACAATCTGAAGAAGTGACACAACTATATTAAATCAGCTCCTGACCAATGAGACAGTGGAATCCACATGGCGTGCTGGTGCTGGTCTTTCTTTCTTTATATACAAAGCATTCTGAGAGCAACTTTTACAGAGGAAAGTGGACTAGCAGGATTGCTGGAAAAAGGGGGAGCTCGACCAAGAAATGGAGGGCAACGAGGGGTTGCCGGAAAAAACTGAGGGAAGTGGAAATCCAAGACGGCCACGTGGGTCATTACGGACAGTTCTGAAACACTCGGACTGGCTGGATATGCTGCTGATGGCCGTGGGGACGATTGGATGTGTTGCTGATGGATTGTCCATGTCTGTAATAATGCTAGTGCTCAGTCAGTTGATGAATGGTTATGCCAGCGTTGATTCTCCCCTTAACCCTGAAGACATAAACAAGGTCAGTCAAACATAAGAAGATACATCAAGCTTAGATCACAGCATACATATATGCTTTTCTATACTAAGACCTTCATCGGTTCTTTTTTTTTTTCCCTGCTGAATGAAACATAAGAGTCAGGACTTTCATCTTAAACTCTTAAGTACGTGCCCAAACGTAATTGAACACATATTAGATGGATATATGTAGCCACCATGTAGTAGAAAGAAAGAGGAAAACCAACTGACCTCTGCATCTTGTATTCAGAACCAAATTTTGAGCTGCTATTATAACTATCTATGTCTAAGTGCAAGCATAGTAAAACAGCTTTGATTTCATTTACTATGCAGTATGCACTGGCTTTGCTCTATGTAGCTGTTGGCATTGGTTCAGGAGCATTTCTAGGTATTCGATTTTTCTCCTACATATCTTTGAACTGAAAATTGTTTAGTATCTGAATAAGTAAATCATACAAATAAAATAGGCCTCAGCACATGGGTCCAAGGTTGTACCAAAGAAAATAATCTAGTTAAACAGGCAACCCCCCCAAGGCCCCTGCCACACCCCTCCGTGGGGGTGCTCCAGAGAACTCATTGAGAATTGCCAGGAGGCTGCTTAATGAGCAGCTGGTTCGAGACACTGGGATGATAAAAACTTTGCACTGGCAATTTACAGCCCTTCATTTATTCCTCAAGTCGGAGGAGGCTCCACTGGCCCTTAACTAGACATGTTCCCCTTCCCATTTCAGATCCTGCCACATCAAGTAAAATCAACACTCTGCTCTTGCCACATGAAATGTACCAACTGTCTGTATGAAAATGATTTACAATCTACATGAGATGTACAGAGCTAGTTTATAGTTGGTGTCCCATCAATTGTAAAAGTTGCAATCGAGGAGTCAGTTGGAAACACTCTAAATTCCTCAGCCAGTCCCAACACCAAAAACAGGGGGTTGCCTCATATTTATGTGTCTGCATACACAAAATAGACGTGCACAGCAACCTTAAAAGTTTAATGGGCCCAGATGCTTCCCATCACTTTAGGTACCATTGAGCCAACCCCTCCTTTACAAAAAAAAAAAAAAGTGAAACTGAATCCTAATCCGAAGCACTCTAGAAAACTCACTTTTATTCTTAGTTCCACCCTAAGTTAAAACTTCTTACAGCTCACCTTAAACCTACTATACCTTAGGGAATGAACAATCTATGAATAGGCAACCAGAAGTAGGACAAAATCTGAAACATAATAAGAAAGTAATCTAATAGAGATTGAGAAACATATAGTAGATTTTACTGTCATATCAATTGAAAACATTACTGCTGACCTATGTGATCCTTTACTCTAGACACCTAATCCACATATAATGTCTCTTGTGTATTGGTCTCCAACAGAAGGATTCTGTTGGGCACGCACTGCAGAAAGGCAAACATCTCAACTACGCACTAGATATTTGCAAGCTGTTCTACGACAGGAAGTTGGGTTTTTTGATACAATTCACGGAGCATCCATAACATCCCAAGTGGTCTCGGCTATTTCAACTGACACATTAGTCATACAAGGGGTTCTTAGCGAGAAGGTTTTTCAACTGATTATTTTGAAATAGAATGATATTTTAATTGGTACTTAATTTTCAACCTTTATTGACTGTCTAGCAATGACACAGATTCCAAACTTCATTACAAATCTAGCAATCTTCATCACAGCAAAAATGACTGCTTTGTACCTCTGTTGGAGACTGGCTGTCATTGCCATCCCTGCATTGGTGATGCTTATTATTCCAGGCTTAGTATACGGGAAGCTTTTAGCAGTGGTAGGAGAAAAGATACAAGAAGCTTATGCAATCGTTGGTGGTATAGCAGAGCAGGCATTATCTTCAATCAGGACTGTTTATTCCAATGTTGGGGAGGAGCAGACTGTGAAGAACTTTTCAGCTGCATTAGGACCAACTCTAAAGCATGGGACAAAGCAAGGACTGTTGAAGGGAATGGCTATTGGTAGTATTGGAGTTACTTATGCGATTTGGGCACTTCAGGGCTGGTATGGGAGCATCTTGGTCACTGAAAAGGGAGTCAAAGGTGGGGATGCTTTCACTGCTGGTGTATGCATTGTCAACGGAGGACTGTAAGCTCAAAATTCTCTTCCTCAGACTTCCCATGGATGATAATAACTATCATGATCATATTTTTATTCAAACTGCTTATACCTGCCAAGAAGGATTTAAGACTATCAAAAAATTTCACAAGCCTATCACATCATGGAACTCTAATTGAAATTCTAAATATTTATGGTAGTCCATTTGTGGGATATTTTCGTTTCTAATTTCTTTTGGAACCATCACCATCATTTTTTTACCATCAGCAACATGCTACCTTAATTTGTGATGAGGGACGGTTCACACATATTTTGAAAAGATTAGAATTCACTATTGCTGGTGATGGGAAGTGTTTCTCACCTAACTTCACTCCAAAGAATCCAAACAAACCCTTGCTGATGATATCTACTCTTATCATTCTGCAGTGCACTTGGGGGTGCTCTAATAAATGTGAAGTACTTCGCTGAGGCGAATGCTGCAGCAGCTCCAATTTTCGAAATGATTGAGCGTGTCCCAAGCATAGACTCTGCAGATCAACAAGGCCAAACCATATCTGATGTCAAAGGTGAATTGGAGCTCAAAGACATTGATTTTGCATACCCATCAAGACCAGAGAACTTGGTATTGAGAAAGTTCAATCTTAAGGTGATGGCATGTCAAATTGTTGGATTGGTAGGTGGTAGTGGGTCAGGTAAGTCAACAGTGATCAATTTGCTTGAAAGATTCTATGATCCCCTTGGGGGAGAGATTCTACTGGATGGAATTAGCATAAAGGGTCTTCAGCTGAAGTGGTTGCGGAGTCAAATTGGTCTAGTTAGCCAAGAGCCTATCCTTTTCGCAACCTCAATCAAAGAGAATATCCTATTTGGAAAAGAGGAAGCTTCACAGGAGGAGATTGTTCAATCAGCTAAAGCCGCCAATGCACATGATTTCATTTCACAGCTACCAAATGGATATGATACCCTTGTAAGTACTTGAACTAACTAATGTTTTTATATTTATTTTTTTTTTTTATCTAATGTTTTTATAGAATATTATGTAGCAAGATATATTACCACAGGATTTGCATGATTTATTATCTACACAATGGTAGTTGTAAACTTATGGCTAGCACATTTGCCATGCAGCTCTCCTACTAACTAAGATGAAGAAGATCCCAAAGCTTTTGTCTTGTGTTTTTCCAGGTAGGGCAGTTGGGAACTCAGATGTCTGGAGGGCAGAAACAGAGGATTTCCATTGCAAGAGCATTGCTTAGAGACCCGAAAATTTTGTTGCTTGATGAAGCCACAAGTTCACTGGACTCGCAGTCTGAAAAGTCTGTCCAGGACGCTTTGAATCAGGTCTCATTAGGACGTACCACCATTATAATTGCACATCGTCTCTCTGCACTACGCAGAGCTGATTTGATAGCTGTTGTCCAGTCAGGGCAAGTAGTAGAGTCTGGTTCCCATGAGCAACTTGTTCAGAACAGGCATGGCCCATATTCAGCTATGGTGCAGCTACAGAAGACACTCATGAATGACGAAATAGAGACAACATCAAAAAGAACTGAAAATAATAACTCTTCTTCCCCAAACAGAGATGCGCAAATATCAGAAACACCGAACAGCCCAATTCCCTCTCTGTCCAGTCATGAGAAAACAATTAACCTCAAGACAGAAGAGCAATGCATCCCTCCATCCCTCTGGTACCTTATACAAATGACTGCATCAGAATGGAAATCAACTCTGTTAGGTTGCGTTGGTGCTATTTGCTATGGATTAATTCAGCCATGGCACTATTTCTGCATGGGTGCACTTCTATCTGTCTATTTTATCGGTGATCATGACGAAATTAAGTCGCAAACAAAAATATATTGCCTTGCTTTCTTAGGCTTTTCTGTCTCCACTTTCATCACCAACGTGATTCAACATTACAATTTTGGAGTAATGGGAGAGAATTTGACCAAAAAAGTCAGAGAAGCAATATTTGCCAAGATCCTGACATTTGAGATAGAGTGGTTTGATCAGGAAAACAATAGCAGTGGTGCCCTCTGTTCTAGATTATCTATAGACGCGACCATGGTAAGAACTCTTGTTGCAGATCGTTTGGCATTCTTGGTACAGGCCATCACAGGAGGTACTTTGGCAGTTATTTTGGGTATAGTATTGGCTTGGAAACTTGCTCTTGTTGCTATTGCTATGCAACCACTCATCATTGGGTCATTCTATGTGAGAGCAGTAATGATGAGGAGCATGTCTAGGAAAATCTTAAAAGCCCAGAACAAGAGTAGCGAATTAGCAAGCGAGGCTGTTGGCAACCAAAGAATCATCACTGCATTTTATTCTCAAGATAAGATTATGGCACTATTTGAGGATGCACAGATTGGCCCCAAGAAAGAGAGCCATAAACAATCTTGGTATGCAGGGCTAGGACTGTTTAGCTCACAGTTCCTCACTGCAGCCAATGCAGGATTACTTTTCTGGTATGGAGGAAGGCTTCTCTACCATGGAAATATCACATACAAGCAACTCTTTCAGACATTCTTCATCTTGGTATCAATAGGGAGAATTATAGCAGAGACTGGAAGCATGATTACGGATTTATCGAAGGGGACCAATGCATTACAATCAGTCTTTGCAATTTTGAAAAGAAATAGCAAGATGGACCCAGATAAGCCGGATGGGATCAGTCCAGTGAAGATAAATGGATATGTGGAGCTTAAAGAGGTCAATTTCTTTTATCCAGCTAGACCAAAACAGATGGTCCTTATGGGTCTATGCCTAAAGATTGATGCTGGAGACGTTGTTGCATTAGTGGGCACAAGTGGTTCTGGAAAATCAACAATCATCAGACTGATTGAGAGATTTTACGACCCATCAAAGGGGTCAGTGGAAGTGGATGGGACTGACATCAAAAAATACAATCTAAGAGCTCTAAGGTCACATATTGCATGGGTTAGTCAGGAGCCCACAATTTTTGCTGGAACAATCCATGAAAACATTGCATATGTGAAGGAGAATGCAACCGAAGCTGAGATTATTGAAGCTGCTACTCTAGCAAATGCCCATGAATTTATAAGGTCTCTCTCTCTCTCTCTCTCTCTCTCTCTCTGTGTCGTGTGTTTTGTTAGTGTCCATCTCTCTGTGTGTGTGAGCACACACGCTAATGAACTAAGTCAAAACCTGACAGTAATCCATAATTATTTGCAAAGCAGTTCAATGAAAGATGGATATGCAACCTACTGTGGAGAAAGAGGCGTGCAGCTATCAGGGGGCCAAAAACAAAGTTTAACTCTTGCTCGAGCAATTTTGAAAAATCCTGCCATATTACTTTTGGATGAGGCAACAAGTGCATTAGATGTTAAATCGGAGAACCTAGTACAAGAGGCACTGGAAAAGACAATGACGAATAGGACATGCGTGGTTGTAGCTCATCGACTATCCACAATTCAAAATTCTAATAAAATTTCAGTGATCGACAATGGAAGAATTGTAGAAGAGGGTTCTCATGGTGAGTTACTCGCAAAAGGAGAGCACAGTGTTTACTATTCACTTGTCAGGCTCCAACATCAAGCTGCCATGAAGTAGGGCAAAGATCATGGCTAAAAATTTTGAACCTGAGCGCAAAAAAATACTTTTACGCACTAAGCTACATATCAACATGAATAAGCTGCAAAGCTGGTGCAGCAGTTATTAAGAAACTATCTTAGTAGCTAGACTTCTTTAGTTTGAAGTGTATGTAGGCATGAACATAAGGGTGTATTGAATAGTGTGTTCCATGGTTACTTGCATTAGGTGTGATTTAGCATTTATCTACATGTTTTTACCAGAGCTTTATGCCCACTTGTATCTGGATACCTTTACACTACATTGAAAGAGTACAGGCTTGGAAATGGATCTGAGCTCATCAGTTTGAGTTCTCCAGTTCCCTTGACCACCTCCATCATGTTTGATCTCATCTCCACAACCAGTTCCAATGTGGAGTTGAAACACCATATTATGATGCCATTCGACAAACCCACTCCTTCATTACTAAAACCGCCATGGCAATCTCCATGGAAATGATCACAAGGCGCACCATAGCCACAATGCCATTTGAAAGGTTTTCTAGTATCTGCCTCTTCAGGGGTACCAGCACCATAGAATCAACTGTTGCCAAATGAATTCTTGATGTTGGCAGAGTCTGCATTGAAACCACCACGAAGATCATGCCCACATCCACCACCACAGCTTCTGCAATAAAACACACTATTAAACAAACAAAAATACAAACACAATAATAACACACCAAAATGCATACACACTAATCAGCATATACACCCACACCCCGTGTTAACACACACAAATGTTCTGCAAACACACGTGCACACACACAAATAAAACAAAAAAATAAATCCAATAAAATACACTATTATAGAAACACAAACTAAAACATATGCCAAAAACCACACACGCACTATTCACACACACACTCTGTAAGGGGTAGAACCCTCCACTCAGGATTTCGGCTTGACCTGGGTTAACCCACGCGGGCGACCCCCCAGTAGCCTTTACCTCTCTTCGCCAATAGGACCCTTTCCTAAGGCAATCCCACATCGGAAGAGAGTCGTCTTCCCCCCTCGCATATAAGCCCTTGCACTCAAAGGAGGAGGTACCCACTAGCGACCTGATCAGGTGCCTAGTGGGTACCTCCTCCTTTGAGTGCAAGGGCTTATATGCGAGGGGGGAAGACGACTCTCTTCCGATGTGGGATTGCCTTAGGAAAGGGTCCTATTGGCGAAGAGAGGTAAAGGCTACTGGGGGGTCGCCCGCGTGGGTTAACCCAGGTCAAGCCGAAATCCTGAGTGGAGGGTTCTACCCCTTACACACTCTAATAACATAAAAATGTTTGATTTTACTGTATCCAAGACTAGTGCTACAAGTTAATGCCCTCGAGACTCTTTAAATACTTTAGGGATGAGCAAGAAAGGTAAATATTATTTAAGGCCTGTTTGGTCACAAAAGTGGGCAAAAGGAACCCGAAAATATGAATTTTGAATAACTGGACTAAACAGTTGGCAGGACTAGTCGACCTATTAATACTAGCATCCTAACCAATGGTCAGCCGAAGACTGGATATAATTCAAAAACCAATTATCTTTTCTTATTTGAAATCCCTTGAAATCTAAATCATAAGGTATAATTCAAAAACTACTCATTCCCCTTCACAAAGTCATTCAAACAAAAACTTTACATGTAGAAACATGAAGTAAATCATGCATGTTTTTCAAAACCACATACTCCCCAACCCCCTTATATATATGAAAATCAGATGACATGAAGTATTTAGGAGGTATTTTGAGCGAAAAAAAAGAGGTCACCAAAACACAACAAGAGCCACTTACCAAAACAACATAGCTGTAGAGAAGACTTTGACGCCAATCACATTCCTTTTCACAAAAGGGCTTGAAAGCATCCTCTCTAAACACTTGGACGCAGATGGTAACTCGAATAAAAAAATTTCAGCTCCATTAAATGACACCTTTCAAATCTCAAGTACTTCTTCGCACTAACAATTGTCAAAAACTCCTTGAAAAAATTCTTTTTAAGAATAAGAAGTCAAGAATATCCGGGGATTTTTCACCTTTCGGAGTTAACAAAACATTACTCGACTAAGTAAATGCTAAAAAGTGAGAACCATACAAAAACAAACAACAAAAACCCAAGACAAAGAAACGAAGTCGTTTGAACACAAGAACGAAACCCCAAGAATCCAATTTAATAGGAAAATATCAATTAATAACCCTAAAAAAAAAGGGAACAACAGATAACAAAAAATTTCAGAAATCTTTAATCCACTCACCTTTCAAACAAGTTAGGACCATTAGAGAAAGCAACAGATAAAGAAAGTCGAGCGAGCAGAATATCTCTATAAATAATTTGGCAGTGGCGGCAGAACAGTTTCTTTCTAGGAGGAAAACCCTTGATCATTGGGCAAGGTGGTCCGCTTCAACGACCAGAGACCCTACGAAGAAGGCGAAGATCACTTCGTCCCCTATCGGAGATCAAATCCGATGGCCTTCGAACTCTCTATGAAGGCCAAGAGGTAGAATTTCTGGTTATTCATGAAGGTGAAAAGACCAAGGCCATCGATGTCACTGGGCCCAACGGAGCCCCCGTCGAAGAGGTGGATGTGGATATGGTAGGCGATGGTTATGGGTTTAATCGGAGGAACGATAATTGCTAAAGTGGCGGTCTCTATGAAGAAGGCGAAGATCTCTTCGTCACCCAATCGGAGATCAAATCCGACGGCCTTCGAACTCCTGTGAGAGACATAGAGAAGAGTTTGAGAGAGAGAGATTCAAAAATAGAGAGAGGCGGGTATTTTTTTGGTTTGAACTTGGGAGGTATATATAGAGCGATTTTTTTAGGATGGGTGAACCTGATTAATGGGTCAGGGGCGGGTTTAACTGAATTACGTAGACCTTTAATGTTAATTAAATAAATATTTAATTATATCAAATCAACACTCTATTTTACCAAATTAAGATACTATTTCATTAAATAAAAAAATTGTCATTCAATTTAACTTTCCTCAATTCAAAAAAAAAAAAAAAAATCTCGTCAACTTAACACTGAATTTTTAAATTAACATTCAATTTTATTAAATTAACATCAAATTAATATTTAATTTTATTAATTTAATATTAATTTCATCAAATTAAAATTATTTCACTAATTTAACAAGCCCCAAAAATGAGTGATCAAACAATCGAATCACTATACGTATCTTGATGATTGTTACTCTTGAAACCAAATTAGTATTCTATTTCATCAAAGAAATTGACATTAAGTTATATCAAATTAATTTTTAATTTTATCTAGTCAACATTTTATTTTATTTAATTAATATTCAATTTTGCAAGTTAAAACCGGATTGAATATTTAATTGTATCAATTTAAAATTTAATTTTATCAAATTAACACCAATTAACCTTAATTTAATTAATCTAAAATTTAATTTTAATTTTAATTTTATCAAACAAAAGTTTTGGCCTTTCCTTTTGATCTCTTAAATGCCTTTTTTTATGGTTGCCAGTTACCACATAGTCGGTTTCAAGACTCTCTATTCATTGTATTGTGGAGTATCGTGATGCTAGGGATCGTGGAAGCTCATCACATTGCACACCAGTTGTGACCATTTGTCGTGTTCGCATCCAAGAGACAATATGCATTTGGATTATAATTTGTTAGTTTTATTTGGGTTGTGTAGTATTTTCTTTCATTTTTAATTTCTTCTTTGGGGTTCAATTATTATACTTAAATGTTATTTTTTGATATTATATCCTCTATAATAGGAATTGGTTTCTGAGTCCCTCTCTGTCAAGTGTGTTAAGCTTAACCATGTGAATTTGTGTGTATTTGTTATGATAAAAAATATATATATTGTATTTTATATTTTCCATTAATCAAAAATGTAGAAGTTTTTGCATATTTTCTGTTATTTTGCTGATTTTATCACTTCCAAACTAACGGTAATAAATAAATAAAAACCAAATCTCCTACTAAAATCAATTTTTGGGTATCATAGTCCCATATCCTCTTCATTGTTTGGATGCATCTGGATGTTTGATGATCATGAAAATCTTGATGCAATAGTTGTGAAACAAAAGCAAAGCATTAAAGTTTCATATCACAAACAATCGCAATATGTGAGTGGGATGCTAGATCACTGGTACCTGTCATCACGCAAACGCAGCAATATTCATATTCAACATTACAAAACTATAGAAATATTGCCTCTACAAAATCTAAGAAAACAAGATGCACAAATGAATTCGAGTTTCAGACTTTAAAAAAAAAAAAAAAAAAACGATATATGGCTCTTCGAATTACACTTGGTAGGTGAAACCACGAATTGGATGATTTCGTTGAAAAAACTCGTTTAGAGCCTTTGAGTTCTTCTTAAATCGAGGAACTTTTTTAAGGGTTTTAATATAACCAATAGGTAATTCACCCCATTTATTTCGTATCTCGTCAACCGCACAAAGCATATCCCTACAAAGATTCTTATCAACCTTATTCTTCATGCGTTCATCATCGGAGAGCCATCTTGGAGGTGGTGGAGGATCAAAGAAGAGTCCAACACAATGCTCCATTCTTGATCGCTCATGGTCTCGACCGGTCATCGTTTCTCCTTTGTTTGATGCAGTTGGCTTGTGAATCGAGAAGAAGAGTATGTTGGTGATGATCACGACAATGAAGTTGATGATCATATATATTCTTCTTGGAGTGTAGGAAGCCATGAATGATTGATAGGATGAATAGGGTTTCTAAATACAATGTTCATATATATATATATATGAATAGGATACCGCGTAAATCCATTACAATCCTAAGCAATCAAGGAAATCTGATTCACGTGTATTAATTAATATAAAAACTTGTGTTCCAAACTTGTCTTCCAAGTTACTTGAAGAACATTCCTAGTAATCAAGTGTGCTCACTTGAATTTCTACTGGCGAGCCAAGAGTTGGGTCGCCATCGTAGAGACCTAACCAAGTTGGCTGGCAATGAATTAATTCGATTTAGATATCATTTTCTTTTTACAATTCATATGAGAATTATAAAACTCAAATTTGATCCCAAACTTCATTGTTATCTGATAATTTCAAAATAGTTTAATTCTTGTTCAAATTATCGTATTGACATTGAAATATATTTTTGTAAAATTTAGCTCTTGTATAATTATTTGGATTATAGATCGAATTTTATATTTTTTGTAAGGGGTAGAAATCGTTACGGGATTTCAGTCCTCCACTCGAAGGATTTTGATTGACCTGGCGGCACCGAGCCCCAGTAACCTTTACCTCTATTCGTCAATAAGACCCTTCCCTAAGGCAATCCCACATCGAAAGAGAGTCGTTTTCCCTCTGCCATATAAGTGAACACTACCTATAAGTGAACACTACCTATTAGCCAAGTGTTCACTTATATGACTCCTATAGAGGAGGTATCTACTAGCCAAGTGTTCACTTATATAGCAGGGGAAGAGAGTACTTATATGGCAGGGGAGGAGACTCCTATGGAGGAGGTACCTACTAGCCAAGTGTTCACTTATATGGCAGGGTAGGAGACGACTCTCTTCCGATGTGGGATTGTCTTAGGAAAGAGTCTTATTGGCGAAGAGAGGGTAGAGATAAAGGCTAATGGGACCTCGGTTGCCACCAGGTCAGCTGGAATCCTTCGAGTGGAGGACTGAAATCCCGTAGCGATTAGTGGGTACCTCCTCCATAAGAAGTGTTCACTTATATGGCAGGGAGGGAGACGACTCCTACCGATGTGGGATGGAGGAAATTCTGTCCACCAAAAGGCGCCTTTTTTGTAAGGGGTAGCGAGTCCCAGTAGCCTTTATCTCTCTCGCCAATAAGACTCTTTTCCTAAAGCAATCCCACATCGGAAGAGAGTTGTCTCCCTATTGGCAATCCACAGCACCGAGCCCCAGTAGCCTTTACCTCTCTTCGCCAATAGGACCATTTCTTAAGGCAATCCCACATCGGAGGAGAGTCGTCTCCCCTCCATATAAGTGAACACTTCCTATGGAGGAGGTACCCACTAGCCACTTGAGTGGGTACCTCTTCCATAGGAAGTGTTCACTTATATGGCAGGGGGGGAGACGACTCTCTTCCGATATGAGATTGCCTTAGGAAAGGGTTTTATTAGGAAATGGTCCTATTGGCAAAGAGAGGTAAAGACTACTAGAGCTCGGTGCCGCCAGATCAGTCGGAATCCTTCAAGTGGAAGGCTAAAATCCCGTAGCGATTTTCCATCCCTTACATTTTCAAATAATTCAGATATTAAATGTTATAAATAAGTTCGTTGGATAGTTTGGTCTAATTCAGATCAATCAAAATTCTATCCAAATTTGACCGTGGACAAACCTCTTACATCGTTAGAGGCTTATCAATAGATTAGATTCTAAGCAAAGATTAATATTCACACTATTATTATGCAGGGTCAAAAAAATACCACAAACAAGATATAAACAAAAAGGATATTTCTATTTCACTCTGAAATAAAATACAAGAATTTATATGAAAAAATTTCACTGAGATCTCTGCTGAATCTTTCTCTCTGTTTCTTCCTCACTAATCTTGAGCATGTCTAACCTTCACTAAGCTTCCTATTTATAGGAAGTTTTCTGGGCAAAATAGTTGTGGATGGGAACACATTAAATCTCCGATAAGCTTTGTCAAAGCTTCAGCTGTCCAACTGTCTGGCCATTAAATAGGGTGGCTACTAGAGTGGGCTATAGACTGATGGAGCTGGAACTTGTTGGCTACTGTATAGGGTGGCTGGATCCTTCAATTCTCCCCCTCCAGAACCATCAATATGGAATGTAATTAGACATTCATCTCGGCTATGTCTCTGCACAGCTTAAGTTTATTTCGAGTAACGACCTTTGTTAAATTAGATTCTATTGGATTCTCTTTTGTGTTGATCTTCATTAGTTTCAATAACTGTTGCTCCATCACTTCGCGTATCCAATGATAGCGAATATCAATTAACACTAAAATTTTAAATTAATATTCAATATCATTAAATTAACATCAAATTGATATTTAATTTTATGAATTTCATCAAATTAAATTTATTTCACTAATTTAACAAGCCCCACAAATGGGTGATCAAACTATTGAATCATTATGCGTATCTTGATGATTGTTACTTTTGAAACCAAATTAGTATTCAATTTTATCAAATTAACACGAAATTGACGTTAAGTTATATCAAATTAATTTTTAATTTTATCTAGCCAACATTTATTTTATTTATTTAATATTCAATTTTGCGAATTAAAATCGGATCGAATATTTAATTGTATCAATTTAAAATTTAATTTTATCAAATTAACACCAATTAACCTTAATTTTACCAATCTAAAATTTAATTTTAATTTATCAAACAAAAGTTTTGGCCTTTCCTTTTGATTTATTAAATGTCTTTTTTTATGGTTGCCTCTTATGAAGTATGGATATTTTGTTGAGGTTGATGTACCCGTATTGGATACAATATTTGTTAGATACTTGAAAATACGTATCGGATACACCTTCTACATATTAGATATACCTTCTACGTATCAATAAAATTAAATATTAGGATATTTCACGGATACTTTTGTAATCGAGCAACATTTATAGTTTTTGAGTTAAATTTTATCATCTTTTTTCGAATTCACATACCATATAATACATTAACAAAAATTCATATTACTTCAAATACACATAATTGTTTTTTAAGTATTCTCTATAATTACATATCAAAACAACATAAAATAAAGCTATTATATTATAATATTAACAAAAATTACTTCTAAATATTAGGTAAATATTAGCTTGATTTTTTTAATTAGTCACTTTACTTTGTGAATACCATAATGATACGATATATATTTTCTTGAAATTAAAAAAAAATTACTAATTTTTTTTATTGTATTAAAGGACTACCAACATGAATAAGTATTAAACTGGTTGAAAATAATAAAAATAATAAAAATATTTTATTATAGTCGTATCGTGACTATACTTATATCCTATTTTTTTAGATTTTATCGTATCGCCGTATTTGTATCATATTGTACTTGTACCTCGAATCTTTATCTGTGATTCATATGTCGCCACATATTCAGTTTTCAGGACTCCCTATTCACTGTATTGTGGAGTATGGCGATGCTAAGGATCATGTAAGCTCATCACATTGCACTCCAGATGTGAATCATTTGTCAGCTTCGTATCTAAGAGATCACATGTATTTGAATTATAATTTTTTAATTTTATTTGATTTGTATCGCATTTTGCTCTATTTTTATTTTCTCCTTTAGGGTTCAATTATTATACTTAAAAATTATTTTTTGATATCATATTTTATATATTTTTCATTAATCAAAACACGTAGAAGTTCTTGCATATTTTCTGTTACTTCGCTGATTTCATTACTTTCAAAGTAATGGTAATAAATAAATAAAAACCAGTTCTCCGACTAAAATCTACTTTTTGGAATCATCGTCCTATATCCTCTTCATTGTTTGGATGTATCTGGATGTTTGATGATCATGAAAATCTTGATGTAATAGTTATGGAACAAAAGCAAAGCATTAACGTTTCATATCACAGCAATATTTATATTCAACATTACAAAACTATAGAAATATTGCCTCTATAAAATCTAAGAAAACAAGATGCACGAAGGAATTTGAGTTTCAGACTTTAAAAAAAAAAAAAAACCGATATACGGCTCTTCGAATTACACTTGGTAGGTGAAACCACGAATTGGATGATTTTGTTGAAGAAACTCGTTTAGAGCCTTTGAGTTCTTCTTAAATCGAGGAACTTTTTTAAGGGCTTCAATATAACCCATAGGTAATTCACCCCATTTATTTCGTATCTCGCCAACCGCACGAAGCATATCCCTACAAAGATTCTTATCGACCTTATTCTTCATGTGTTCATCATCGGAGAGCCATCTTGGAGGTGGTGGAGGATCAAAGAAGAGCCCAACACAATGCTCCATTCTTGATCGCTCATGGTCTCGACCGGTCATCGTTTCTCCTTTGTTTGATGCAGTTGGATTGTGAATCGAGAAGAAGAATATGGTGGTGATGATCACGACAATGAAGTTGATGATCATATATATTCTTCTTGGAGTGTAGGAAGCCATGAATGATTGATAGGATGAATAGGGTTTCTAAATACAATGTTCATATATATAGAAAGCTAGCGAAGAGTTTTAGGGAAATTAAGCTAAAACATTTAGATCAAACTGGAATACCACGTGAATCCATTACAATCCTAGGCAAACAAGGAAATCTGGTTGACATGTATTAATATATACTTGTGTTCTATACTTGTCTTCCAAGTTGGGTGTAGAACCTTCCTAGTAATGCAACACCGCTAAGTGATACTACTGAGTGACTGGAGGCAGGTCCAATTCCAGCCAACGGATTCGCCACTTCTTTCATGATCGGAGGCTTAACAATACATTGGATTCTGAATGGTTTAAAATTCGATTTAGTTAAAATCTTTGATCCGAATTTGATTAGATATTATTTTATATTTACAATTCGTATGAAAATTTATTATAAAATTCAAATTCGATCTCAAACTTCATTATAATCTAACAATTTAAAATTAGTTTAATGTTATCATTTCAACTTATCAATTACACTTGGTAAGTAAAGCCATAAGTGGGATGACGTCGTTGAAAAAACACGTTCAAAGTCTTTGAATCCTTCTTAAATCAAGGAACTTTTTTTAGGACTTCAATGTAATCAATGTGTAATTCGTCCCATTTTTTACATATCTCGACAACCATACGAAGTATGTCTCTATAAATATCTTGTCCACCTTATTCTTCACGCGTTTATCATCGGAGAGCCATTTTGGAGGCAATGAAGGATCAAAGAACAACCCAACACAATAATACTCCATTCTTGATGGCTCGTAGCCTCCGTCAATCAGTGTTTCTTCTTTATTTGATAAACTCAGACTGTGCAGTGAAAATAAGAGTATAGTGGTGATGATCACAACAATAAAATGGATGATCAAATATATTTTTCGTATATTATGGGAGGTCATGATTGAGTTCTATGATGAATAGGGTTTTTGAATACCCCAAGAGTTTTAGGGGTAAGGCAAAACATTTGAATTGAACTATGATAGCTCATGAATCTATTATAATCTTAGGCAAAGAAGAAAATCTGATGTACGTGTACCCATACTACCCTTCCAGAACCTTCCTGGTAATGCAATAAGTTAGCTCACGTAAATTGCTATCGGCGAGCCGAGAGACAAAGTAATCATTCCTTTCATCGTTGGAGGTTTTATTTGAACTTAAAAATTTGACATAATTTGTTGACTTAATGACGTAATTTCATTAGAACCATTGGATAAACACTAAGTTCCAATGTTTGATAGAGCCTACAATTAATCCAAAGGTCATAGTGAATTAGATCAACAAATTAAGTTTCAATAGCATTACTCTTTCAAAAGTGGTGCATTAAACATCTCGTAGTTTTATGGGATAAGTTTAATATTTCATATTTATATGTCATCCCTTGATTAATGCGTATTTTTTTTAGAAAATGATTTTATTTTTAAATTATATTTAATGCACTTTGATTCATGCATATTTTTTTTTAGAAAGTGATTTTATTTTCAAATTATATTAATATCCAAATAGTATAATAGCGTAATAATGTAACAATAACAGTATAACAAAATATTTACACAAAATATTATATTATTATATTTTGTCAACACATGTATTTTAATATAATTTCATTCAAAATAGTTCATCTACATTTTGAATTTGTTATCACATGCATAAAACAACTGAACACTGTTTTTGTTACAGTGTGTTGTTACACTGTCTTTGTTATAATATATTTGTTACACTATTTTTATTACATTATTATGGAGTTCGGATAGTAACAAATTTTAAAATTCAAACAAGTGATATATTCTAAAATAAACAGAATATTAAAATTCTTCTATAAAACTACTAATAGTAAATATTTAATGCATAAATATAATTTGAAAATAAAACACTTTCTTAAAAAAAAATACACATGAATCAATGTGCATTAAAGGTAAAAGATTTTAAATTAAATGACTCTAAATTTCAGTGCTTAATAAATGTCTTATTAAAATTTTTATGAAATTTTTTTTTTCCAAAAATGGGTATTTACGTTTTTATATTTCAGTTGTGTATTTTTTTTTAAAATATTTTATTCTAATATTTTTTACAATTATGTCTAATTTAGTATACCAGCTTACAAAAAATCTTTGTTTTTATGTATAAAGCCGAAGTGATACTTTGAAGAAGTTGGGCTCATGCAGGATCGAACTACAGACCACCTTAAGTTCGTTCGGTTGCCATATACAAAAAAACAAAAAATTATATTAACTACGAGTTAATTTTATATAAACAAAAAAATATAAGATTAAATATAAAATAAATTTAATATTTAATATTTAATAAAACACTGAATAAAGATAAAATAATAAAATTTTAATTATATATTGAACAAAAAATTATCAATTTTGTTTAATAATTAATATTTTTAATTATTTGGTAGGTAAAATAATAAATTTATAACTTAATATGCTAAAATTAGATTATAATACTACCTCCGGATATTATAATTAGATCAATAGTAATAATAAAATTAATTATTTAAATAAATATTTAAAATAACATTATATATAATATAAAATATTTTTATAATCAAATATAATATAAAATTAAATTAAAAATAATAATTTATTATGACTCGCTCTCTACCACTACCACTGAGCTCTACAAGAAATAGGGGGCTTCTTATTTCTTCACATACAGTCTCCCGTTTGCGGTTTCTCTCAATGGAAAACACTTTTGATCCGGTAAAAACCCTAATTTTCCCTGTTTAGATTCTTCAGTTTGTCATTGCATTATGAATAGTTTGAATCGGGTATAGAACTGAGAATTTTGTATCGTTTTATGTGCATTAACAGGATCTAATTCATGCGATTTTCAAATATGTATGGCGCAAAAGAGCTCTCGGTTCGATTTTCTTTCAAAATCTTCAAAATTGTTGGTTTTCCTATGTTAATTTTTTTTAATTGTGCTGTGTTGAGTTCACTGCAGAGCGTGAGAAAGACGAAGGTGCCGAGACTACGGAGGTTGAGGTACAATTCAATTGCTTCTCTACAATTTTTCGTTTCTCTTTTGTGATCTTTGATATGCTAACTCAACTTGTATTAGATGTAGAAATTACACTTAAAAAGGATGAATTTTTCTCAATTGTTGCTCGACCTGGCCATGAAATTTGCATTAAAGTCAATCAACCAGTTTATGTATCATATGTATACGTTCCTTAATGCTTCATTTGGTATGATGGAAAATGGAAGAATGAAAAATTAGAGGGTAGATAAAACATTATATTTGGTAAAGAAGTAAAATAAGAAGGATGACAAAGTAATGAATTAGCTTTTTTTTCAATTCACCAAAATTTATCCCTCCAAAATTGAGAGAAAATGTGAATAAAAAATTAATTATGTGTGTTGAAATGTATATTATTCACCTATATATTATTTAATATATGTATATATCACAGTTATTTATTACATATTGTATGCATTAATTTTATATATAAATATAATGATAAAATATGCATTTATATTTTTTCATCCTTCCACTTTTCCATTTAACCAAACGCAAAAAAATCAATCTTTCTTACTTTCCATTCCTCCTACCAAAGACAAAAGAGCAAAGGGAGGATTCCTCTGTTGAAGAATATAAAGTATATCACACTCACTTTCTATCCACCCAACCAAACACACCATTGGTGTATGTGTACATGTATGATTTATGTGAGTGTCAAACATTCTTGTTTGATCAGTATTGAATACCGTCTATTACATGTGCCTTAGTTGTTTCATTGTATTATATTAGTGACTGGCTGCAAGCTTGACTCTCTTTGCGTAAATTATTAGATATAACTATTGTTTAGGCTGCGAATTGTAATACTTGGCTTCTCGTTGTTACATTGGTGTAATAAAGGAAGTGGCCCTAGACATAGCTCATCGGCGGAATAGTATTTATTGGCAATCCAATTAGTTGGAACAAGATTTTGTTGGTTAATCTGAGTTCACTATGAATTTGTTTGCTTGGTAGGCTGGTACAGTTAAGACTGTTAATGTAACTCTACTTTTACACTACAGAGAATCTTTAGAATCTTTTTTTTTAAATGAAGGTGTATAATTCCTTGGATGTCAGGGCAGTTACTGATTTTTGATTCCCCTATCTTCCCAAATGCACTTCTAAATTTCAGTTTTTGTCGGAGTTTTTTTCTTTCAGGGAAGAAATAGAAAGGAGGGAATGATGGCAAGACAGAGTATAAATTTCATTTGATCATCCTCTACTTTTTTTCCCCTCTTCTATTGGTATTACTTTGTATTTTCCGCATGATGAGCTGGAAAATTTGGTTCATGATGATGGAATAGTACCTAACTAGCCAACTACTTTTGTGGAAGTCCCACTCAAAACATTGCTCATTCTTGAACAGAGTGCATATTAGGAAACTTTTTGTTTCTTGGATATTCAAACACCGGAACTCCCTTCGCCACCATTCTGTTTCTAATTTTCATAATTATTGGAATTTCATGCAATTATGATGCTATTTATCAGTATTACTTGGAGTATGTTTCCTGAATCCTTTGTAAAACCATAAACCATTATATCTTTTCATTGTGTTTGAGCCTTGTTCATCTGCCCTTCTACTTATCCTTGTAGTGCCTTAGCTAAAATCAATTCACTGCATATAGATGCAGCAATTATCCTTCAATGCAAATGACCAGCCCATGTTTTAGACTACTTCTCTTCACTCTATCCTCAACTTGTGCTTCCCTTAGCTTCTTAGGAGTAAATAAGAGTATCATTTCTATTATTATCCTTTGTCTCTCTACCATCATCATTTAGGCGAGGCTTATTTACAGGCATGTTTTATATTCCCAAGTTTCCTCATTTAATAAGGTTCATCTTGTGTTTGTCTTGTGAACTTACCATCCTTTATATTGATATTGGATGGTAATGGCATGCTCAATTCTCCAATTGCACCAACCTACTGAATCCATATTGCTCCAATTTCATCGACAATGTTGTTTAATCTCTTCATTTCTTCGGTTTCTTGTACATATTGTTGATTCAAGATCAACATAATGGTTTGTGCTAAATTGTTCACAAACAACATACAAAACGATCTGTGTGTCAATGTGTTGTTGAAGGCAACAAACTGATCTAAGCATATTGTAATTGAACTTCACTTGTCTCTTATTTGTGTTAACCTCATCCTCACTGCTATAATTGTAGCCTTATCATATCATTCTGTCTAGCTAATATCCCATTCTTCAAAGCCGACTGCATCGTCTTTTATTTTGAAGCCATAATTTGACCTCTCAATTTTGAATGTCATGTCAGTGC